TGGAGGAACCGCCACGGAAGAGAGTCACAGTTAGGAACAAAAGAAGGAGACAACTATTTTCACCGGTGGAACTGCTTTCAGGTTCTTTATGAGGAGTCTGATGGACAGCAAGTAGACGAAGTCAAAGAAGGGACCATGGAAGAGAGGGACTGAAACTCAGCCAAGCAGAGGCACTGGACCTGCACCCTATAAAAAGAAGATGAGAAGAGTACAGTGGACCCTCGACTTACGGAATTAATCCGTATTGGAACGGTGGCCGCAGGTCGAAAAGTCTGCAGGTCAAGGCTCCATTGACATACCATGCATTGAAAACCGATTAATTCATAATCGGCCATTTTTGTTCTATTTTGGGGCCCCCCCCCCCCGGTCTGTAGGTCGATTCTCCGGCTGCAAGTCGAACCTAAATTTTGCGGCCAGAGAAGTCTGTAACTTGAAAAGTCTGTAAGTGGAGCCGTCTGTAAGTTGAGGGTCCACTGTAGTTGTAATAGGAGACCCAGTGGGATGGGAAGTGAAGCTATGCCGGGGAGATCCATGGACTTAAGGACTTTGGGGCCTAGATAGTTTTTTCTACTACCCTATAAGTGCCTGGAAGAGGAAAAGAAACTGAAAGGAAAATATTCCGGGTGAATGACTGGCTACGAAAGTGGTGTCGGTTTTTGGGATCACGGGCTAAGCATTCTAGATTATGGACTGCTAGCAACAGATCGCTTGCACCTCACAAAAAATGGAGAAAATGTGTTTGAAGAACGTCATCAGGAGGGCTTTAAACTGAACTGGAAGGGAGAGGGAGACATAAGCACAGAAGTAAAGATAGGTGAAGCCTTATTCACAATAAGAGGAACTGACCAAACAGTTCTAATGGGAGTCAATAATAACATTTTGTATTCTTGAAGGCTTTCATGGCCGGGATCCAATGGTTGTAGTAGGTTTTTCGGGCTGTCTGGCCATGCTTTTGAGGTTTTTCTTCCTAACGTTTCACCAGTCTCTGTGGCCGGCATCTTCAGAGGACAGGAATCAGAACTCTGTGCTCTGGTGCAGTTTTATGGGATAGTTCAGTATTTATAGCTGTGGGATCAGCTTTTTGTCCTTTTCAGGAGATTGGGTGATTATGGTGATCAGCATGTTTTTTTGTTGTGGGTGTATTGTTGTGATAAGGGGGAGAGATGATCTGTCACTGTGATGGATGGGTGTGATTAGCTGGTCTTTTATGTGCATTTCTTTTTTTGTTGAAGTTATGCATTCTCCATGATATGCTGATTAGCAAGCTAACTAGATGTGAGCTGGGTAGATCAAGTGTCAGGTGAATACACAACTGGCAACAGAATCATACTAATAGGGTGATGATTAATGACTCCTTCTAAACTAGGAGGAAGCAACAAATGGGGTACCTGGGTCTAGTGCTATTCACTATTTTTATTAATTACTTGAATGGGGAGGCAGGGAGTACTAATCAAATTTGCGGATCATACAAAATTGGGTGGAATAGCTAATACCCTGGCCACTGAAACAAAATTCAAAATGAACTGGGTAGGCTTGAGCAGTGGGGCTGAAAACAACAGAATACAATTCAAGAGAGATAACTGCAAAGTATTGCTCCTCAGAAAAAGAAACCAAATGCACAGTTACAAGATGGGGGACACCTGGCTCAGCAATACTACAAGGAAGAAGGATCTTGGAGTTGTTGTAGATCAAAAGCTGAATGTGAGCAAACAGTGCGATGTGGCTACCAAAGAGGCTAATGCTATTTTAGGCTGCATTTACAGAAGTATAGTCTCAAAATCCCACAACGTACTAGTTCCCCTCTGTTCCACAACGGTTAGGCCTCACCTTGAGTACTGTGTCGGCTCAGCAATACTACAAGGAAGAAGGATCTTGGAGTTGTTGTAGATCAAAAGCTGAATGTGAGCAAACAGTGCGATGTGGCTACCAAAGAGGCTAATGCTATTTTAGGCTGCATTTACAGAAGTATAGTCTCAAAATCCCACAACGTACTAGTTCCCCTCTGTTCCACAACGGTTAGGCCTCACCTTGAGTACTGTGTCCAGTTCTGGAAAAATCCCACTACGTACTAGTTCCCCTCTGTTCCACAATGGTTAGGCCTCACCTTGAGTAGTGTGTCCAGTTCTGGACACCACACTTCAAGGAGGATGCTAACAAATTGGAACAAGTTCATATGAGAGCAACAAGGACGATCGGGGGCTGGAAACCAAGCCTTAGGAGGAAAGACTGAAAGAATTGGCCATGTTTAGCCTTGAGAAAAGAAGAGTGAGGGGTGATATGATAGCACTTTTCATATATTTGAAAGGGTGTCATACAGAGGAGGAGGATCTGTTCTTGATCATTCCAGAGTGCAGAAGATGCAAAAACGGGCTCAAGTTACAAGGTCAGATTGTACCTATAAAGAGAATTTATACAAAATGTTTTATAGATGGCACTTAGCACCTGACAGACTAGCTAAAATGGTTTCTAATCGGTTAAGTAATTGCTGGAAATGTCATAAAAAAATTCGAACTTACTATCATCTTTGGTGGACATGTGATAAAGCAAAAAGGGTTTGGATAAAAAAACATATATGGCTTGTGAAAATAATCAAAAAACATGTAGATTTTAAGTATAATACCAGAAAGTGTTGATAGAAATTTATATTTATTACTGCATATTTAAACAGCCGCAAGGATATTTGCACAGTACTGGAAGAATGAAGAAACACCTCCAGATGAAGAAATAATTAAAAAGATGCTAGACTGCGCAGAAATGGACAGATTGACATTAAAAATCAAAGGGAAGGAAGATTTTGGATACTATCAAACTTGGAATCTGTTCTATCAGTGGCTAGAAATATGCTGTATAGATTAAGGATTTAAGATGTATTGTAGATGTATCAAAAAAATGACTATAAGCGGAACCTAGGATACACAATGTTAAACAAGTATAGATAGACTTTGTAAATAATAATAATAATTAAAAAAGAAGCCAGATTTTGGTTGAATATCAATGACTATAAGCGGAACCTAGGGGACACAATGTTAAAGAACTATGGATAGACTTTGTAAATAATAATAATAATTTAAAAAGAAGCCAGATTTTGGTTGAATATCAGGAAAACCTTCTCAACTGTTTGAGCAGTATGGCAATGGACCCAATTACCTCAAGAAGTGGTGAGTCCTCCAGCACTTGAAGCATTCAAGAGAAATGTAGACAACCACATTTCTGCATCAAGCAGGGGGTTGGACTTTATGGCTTTCAACTTCGTAGTTCTGATTCTCTTCTGTGAAGATGAATTTTCACAGCATCTTTCCACTTTACGACACTGTTCACACACATTGCAAAATCAATGGTGGTGGCGGCGGTCTGTTACGAATTCACATACAATAAAATCAATAGCGGCGGCGGTCTGTTACGAATTCACATACAAAAACATAAAACCCCAAAGACTTCTAATCCATCGTTTTATTGGATTTCCGGGAGGGTCAAGCAGGTAAAGATCAACTATATAAACAATCGTAACTGTTCTTATTTTTCTCTCTCCAAACTATGTGTAAACAAAGAATACAGAAAGAACGAAAAAAGCAAATCTATTAACAAAACATGTCTCAGCCGCAAAGACTTACATCAAAAATAACAATCCCATTTGTTCAGTTTGTTTTATTGATTGTGCCAAAACCATTCTGAATGATTGTTTTGGAATGACCATTTGAAGCAGATTTTTAAAGCAATGGTGAAAATCCTTTCTGGCAATACTACAGGAAATGCACTTCTTTGGGTATAATGGGAATGAGTCAGCCCCACATTCGATATGCCCTTACACTACGCTGTTATGCATACAATTAGAGGTGCAGGTAGTATCCGTTTGACATATTAAGTTCCTTGTCAGTATGTGAACCCATTCTGGCAATAAAAATAAAGCAAAATATATATATTAATGTGACCTCCTCCTATGCAGTAGTAGCAAAAGCCTGTTAAAACTTCAGAAGCAACTGAAAACACAGAAGGCGTAGGGAGCATGTAGTCCTCTGGATGTTGTTGAAATGCAAATATCATCACCCCTTATCTCTGGCTATAATAGTAACCCTTTAAATATCATCAGAGAGAGCTGCAAGTCCTGCCAGACCTAAGGCCTCATAGGCAAAGATTGAAACTCGTCATGAGAGTTGCGATTCAACATGAAGAGGGTCACATATTGAGGAATATTCCTCACTACTGCAGTACATTTTGGTACCTTTATTAGATCACCTGAAAATCAGGCTAAATTAAAAGGATTCCAATTAACTGACTGCCGAGCCATGGGTTTTACAATGAGTACACCTTTACCCCTCCCCCGGGGTGAAGAACAAGAGACTTTATCCAATACTAAAATCCAGCGTAATAAGATGGGGGAAAGATGCAAATTGAGCATGAAGGAGGTATTAGAAAAAAATAAGACTACACCTCCATGAATTGCATTTCTGCTCCTAGTCTAGGGATCATTATTAGAATTCTAAGGACTCTCGTGAAATGGCAGTCCACAATTTCTTGGCTGAAGCTTTTAATGGTTCAATTAGTTCACTGCTGATTGATGTCCATACTGTAAGGAAAACCAAAGGCTCTAGAGCAGTGGTGTCGAACTGTGACTGCTTTATTTCAGCCATGTAACATCTTAAAAAGGCATTTCCAGCTTTTTCTGTGGGAGTGAGAGAGGACTCCCCTTTCTGCTGCAAGGCCCTTGTGTGGCACGGATTCTCCTACAAGCCCAGTGTCAGTGCTGGGCCTCTGACTGATGCCTACTCTGGACAATCCAGCTTCCCTGCTCTCTGTGGGTGTACTGCGTGGCTCACAGTCTTGTGGGGAGAAAGCAGAAATCGCTTTCCCCCTCCATTTCCCTGCTCTTTGTGGGTGTACTGCGTGGCCCATAGTCTTGAGGGGAGAACGCAGAAATCGCTTTCCCCCTCCATTTTCTTTGCAAAACGTGGAGGGGGAAAGCCGCTTTTTGCAATGAAAATGTAGGGGAAAAGCAGGAATCGCTTTCCCCCTCCACTTTCTTGCAAAGAAAGAAATTTTGGGTTAGAAAAGTGGGTGGGCGTCTTATACAGGGGGAAATATGGTAATACTATTAAGCTAGCATGACTTGTTTTTGAGAAACGTACGTTGACTTCTAGTATGTTCTTTTCGAAGTGCTCACAAGCCATTTCCAGAAGGTTTTCTGGTACTGATGTCAAGCTAACTGCTCAATAGTTGCCCAAATACTTTCTCTCTCTCTCTTGTTCTGCCTCTTTAAAGGTGGAAGCGTTTGCCTCCTGTCGCTTTCTTTTCTGTGTTCAAAATCTGGGTGTGAGGTGGCCCACAGGTAGTAGCTGAGAAGGAGGAAGCAAGGGGTTCATGCCCATCTCAAGCCCTCATTTTATACTGTTCCCATAGTCTAGAATTATGCTACTTTGAAGATTTGGGGTATTTCCAGTGGTAACCAGCTGGCAGCTTCCTGCTGCAGATTGTGATATCGCTGCCACTGCTGGAAAGCAAGGAGGGGGCACTGATGGCAGAAAGGATTTGCCAGAGGATACTGTGTTGAGGGCTCTGCTGGCCACAACCTGAACAAGTTATTTTTGGAATGTGAGGTGCCTGAATTGCAAGACTAAAGGCCACTAGGGCACATGTGAAGGTGTACTCTAAACAAGTACGAGTTTCAGACTCTCCACCTTGCCGTCAAGACTCGTGTGTGCGGTCACGTGAAGAGATTCCCTCCACGAGCCATTGAAACTCTGTGTTGATTCAACATGAAGTAATTTACTATAATTTGGCCATTTTACTATAACTGAACACTAAAGGCGGTGGCCTGTTCACTGTTACCGTTTATGAGACCTTCCTCCATTTGACTCGCTCTGCGTGTGTGCGAGAGAGACAGACTTGCAGCTGCTCTTGGGTTGCAAGCGGCTGTTCCCTCTTTATTTTACCTTGGAGGCACCGCCTGAGGGAAACCTGAAGTGTAGCATTAGTGCAATCTCCCTGCTGGTTCTCCTTTGGATCTCTTGCACAAAGGTGTGCGTGGTTTAGGACAGTTGAAAGGAAGCAAACTGGGATATAAAAGGAACCAATGGAATTTTGCTTTGCTTGTTAAGGAGCAAAATCCATGCTCTCTGGTTGTTCCGCGGCATTTCAATTTGTAGAAAACCAGCCCTGGGTGCTAAAATGCTGGACAGTCAAATCGATAGTGTTACAGTTCACAGTTAGGTGGTTATTAATGACTCAGCAAGTAAGCTGATGGAAGGATGATCACAGCTGCAATGTTAGCTCTACACTGCCAGCTACAGCCTGGGAACGTTTCTTTTTGGGACGCCACAAGAAGCCAAGTAATTTTCCAAGTGTTTCTTGCATAATCCATCGATACTCAAAGGACCACAACTGCGTGTTCCCAATTTTGGAGGTGTTTTTATTCTAAAAGTCCCAACCAGGACTTGGTGTCACAATGTGGTCAAACAGCTAGAGGAGCACAGATTATGTTATGATCTGTTACGTCCATTGCCAAGTATACCCAGCACGGCAATCTTGGTGAAGCAACAGAGATGGACACACAATGGCTCAGCAAACTGCACATATCCTAAAAGGAGGTCATGACTCATTAGAACATGCTCACAATATCTGGACTTAATTTTTTAAAAAACCCTAGATCATTGCATATCTATGTGTGAGTGTGTGTATTGCCAAAGTTTATTTAAATACCAATATAATGAACTGCTTATGCCAAGATAACTGCATCTCTCAGATTTAGCTTGTTCAAGATCAATAATGCTATCATTGCTTTTAGAGTATAAATTAAACCAGTACTTTCATTGGCAGTGAATTTAAACTCTCAGTTGGCCTGTAAAGCTTTTGCCTGTGTAAAGGTTTGCATTTTGTTTACTATGACAGGCTTGGTTGGCTAAAATCCTCTTGTACAACTATGCAAAAGGTAGAACTTCAAGAGGCGAACTGCTTCAAGTTTAGAAATCTCAGTAGACATATTATCTGTTGCATATGGAGCTGCATATGTTAAGATATGCAACAGGCCTCCAGACATTTCACTTTTTATGGAGCAATGTAACAGGATTTCAGCTATTATCCTGCCTGTATTTTAAAATAACAGGGATATAGTACAGGGAAACACAATTCAGTATTGTGCCCTTACCAAAAACCTTCCTGCAATACAAGGATGGAGAATCTTTGGTCCTCCAGATGTTTTGGCCTACAACACTCATCAGCCTCACTAAGCATGGCCAATGGTGAGGCACTGTGGGTGTCATGGACCAAAACATCTGGACAGCCAAAGGTTCTGAACCTATTGCCTTATCAGAAATGTTTATCCTGACCAAAAGTTTTGGCTAGTTTGGCTTTAGCAGAGCCTTAAGATCTTTTCCTATCTCTTGGCTATTGCTCAGTTCATCTAAACTGTAGTATCTGTGAACAATTTTTTCATCAGTGACGGCTACCAGTCTTAGTCCATGAGTGTCTTCTCCCAGCTGGCATCCTATGGCAGACGAAACGACCATGTCGAGACCTTTATAGAATCCTCCAGCATTCCTGTGGTAATGGCCAGAAAAAACGGCTTTAACACCTGTTTAAACAAAAGGAGATAAAAATGAGAAAAAGTTAGTATGCTTAAAGGTGTTCATTGAAGTCTGGAAACAGATTGTAAGTGAACTCTGCAGTCATCATCATCATGTGACGTCAAATCATTTCTCACTTGTGACAATCCTTTCCAAGGTTTTCTTAGTAAAAAGTACTGAGAATGGATTTACCCTTCCCTTCCTCTAGGGGGCACCCTGGGACTGTGCACCTTGCCCAAGGCTACAGAGGCTGGCTCTTCTTCCAGGAGGCACAGTGGGGAATCAAACTCTCTACCTTGGCAGTTAGATACCAGCAGCTAGAGCTATTCAGCCAAAAGACCTCTGTACCCATTGCTAAATTAATGCTATGCACCAGATCATTATGACCGTATAAGCAACTTAAACTGGTTCACCAAAGTATATTAAAAATGTATTACTATTGTAACCAATCACAATGAGATAACAAGCAAGGGAAAATCCCAGAAACGGACTCATCAGTTAACCATTTCTCATTCAAACACAAAGCAACTGTCACAGCTGTTTTCCAACAAGTGTGAATGGCAATGAGCACAAGAGGGTATGCTGTTGTAGACCATCTTGATTGTCTCCATTGGTGTCGCAAATATTTAAGCTGCCCTTTGCTATATAAAGCCTGGTATCTGGTAAAGCTGGCAACGCAGGCACAACATTGTGCAGCAATATGGGGCCATTTCCTGGCATTTTGACTCATGAATACAGAAGCACAATATTCTACATTCATCAATCAGAGGTTTTTTTGTAGAACATACTTAGCTCCATCTGTGTCAAGATATACTATTCTTGTGGTTCAAAGATGCCTTACATGTGTGTCCCTGAGCACGTGTTAGTTCATACCTGTGCTCTGAGACTAATCTGGTAACAAGAGAGGAGGGAAGAGTCAAAGGGGCTCTAATCCAATATAGTTGAGATAGGGCACAGCACCTGTATCTTCCTTCCTGGGGGACTGTCAACAGCCTAGATGAGGAGAATTCAATTTGGAAAACTGTGCATGTGAAAGGAAACAAATGAACCGTCATCACAATCCCATGGCCCCAAAACATGTACAGGATAGTTTCCCAGCGTGGTCTTGAATTGCTACCTGTAAGTAAAGGTTGGTTACCTTTAAATATACAGTGGTGCCTTACATAGCGAGGTTAATCCGTTCCGAATTAACCCTTGCTATGTGAAAACATCACTAAACGGATCATAAAAACCCATTGGAATGCATTAAACATCGTTTAATGCGTTCCAATGGGCCCTAAGCTTGCCGTTCAGCGAAGTTTCCTCCATAGCGGCAGCCATTTTCGCGCTCTCGGTAAGCGAGGGGAGGGCACAAAAACGCTGCGCGCGGCCATTTCGGGCATCCGGCAGCCATTTTAGAACCGCCGAACAGCTGATCCGCGGGCATCGCAAAGCGAAGATCGGTAAGCGAAACGCTTACCGATCGTCGCTATGCGAGTTTTGCCCATTGGAACAATCGGTATGCCTCCGCATTAGCAACCCCGAAAAGGGGATCGCTATGCAGATTCGTTGTTATACGGTGCGCTCGTTAAGCGAGGCACCACTGTACAGTGATACCTCTGACTACATTGGATTCCAGAAGGAGCTTCTTGCTTTGGGGAGCCCAGGACTGTGCATCCCCAGGACAGAACCTATCTTGTGGCTTTGGACAAAGTGTCCTTCCCATGGGAAGCCTCCGTTTCAAGTGACACGGAAGCAACTATGGCGCTCCTTGTCTGTTTCACATCATCAGTTGTCATATGTCTCAGCCAAATCTCCGAAGAAAGAGCAGAATGTAGCCAAGGTGAACACAGTGGGCAAGGCAGTCTTATGTGGTGAAGATGGGGGAGAACTTTCATTCTTATGTGTCATCAAAAAGGACAAGCAAAGAATCAGATTTATGTAAAATGTGCATATCCTAATACATGTAAAAGTGCATATTTGGAAGCAATGATTATAGAGGCACTTCCCTGTCATATGGAAGACTTTGACCAGGCGGACATTTTGTTTCCTGTTCTCTGTTGCCCAAGTGATGGCATTTGTTGATCAAGAAACGTCAAGGCCCTTGCTCTTTGGGTTCTCGATTTTTCAGACAAATTTATGGCCAGAAAGCCTTTCAAACAGAACAAGGCTGGACTAAAAGTGGCTTCCCAGAGGTTGAATGAAAGGACAGGCCTGATAAGAATCAGAGACACTGATGAACTGAGACATTTTGCTATTTGAAGCAAAAGTCACGGCGTTCTCCCCTCAGAAGCAAATGAGATTTCAAGGATGCCACCTGTGCCACATCAAGAGATGGGAAGGCCTGGGAAAAAACCCAGAAAAATTTGGGAAAACAGTTTCCCCGCCCCTGTTTTTTCCCCAAAGTCCTTCCCCCCTGAAAAATTGAGGGAAAAAAAAGATTTGTGGAATATGTTCTTTTACAATGATAAATAAGATGTCTATGACATGGTATTCAAACTATATGACATGAAGACCTCAATGAAAGACTTCTGAGATTTTATGCCAATAAAAGGTTATGATGATGATGACTTCTGAGACTTTTATGTATTTAACTTCTCTCTCTGGGGAGCGGGGAGAGGGGGAGAGCACAGACGCTTCTATATGGTGCGCATATAATGTTCTCTCCAGTGCCTTGCTGTTGTGTCTCGTGTCCTAAGAGCGGCTACAGGAGGCAGAGGGCTGATCTTGCCTAGTGGGGCACCTGGCCATGGAGTCACACACCGAAAACAGCAAAGAGAATGGCTTCTAGGGGAATGAAACATTTCACAGCATCCAGAAACATGAAATGAAGCATGAACGTTAGGCCAACGGCTACAGGGTCGCTACCACAAAGTGAAGGGAACTTCCACAGCTTACTTCAAAACCTAGTATCTTCTTTACGGCTTTTACTCCTAGTACAGTGGTGCCTCGCTTAACAACGATAATCCGTTCCAGGAAAATCACTGTTAAGTGAAAACGTCATAAAGCGAAATGAAAAAACCCATTGAAACGCATTGAAAACCATTCAATGTGTTCCAATGGGCTAAAAACTCACCGTCCAGCAAAGATCCTCCATACGGTGGCCATTTTTGGTGCCTGTATAGCGAGGAATCTGTCCTTAAGCACAGCGGGGAGCCATTTTAAGCACCCGGTGGCCATTTTGAAAACCTGACGATCAGCTGTTTTTGATTGTCGTAAAGCGAAAATCGGTTCCCGAAGCAGGGAAGCTAAGCGAAATTCCCCCATTTAGACCATCATTTTGCAATCGCAATTGCGACTGCAAAAACATCTTTGTAAAGCAGATTCGTCGTAATGCGGGGCAATCGTTAAGCAGGGCACGACTGTAGTTGCTTCTTTTACTTTTGGTAATCGTTTAAGGCAGTGTTTCCCAACTTTGGGTAACTCAGGTGTTCTTGGACTGCATGTCCAGAAGCCTTCACAACAACTATGCTGGGCTGGAGTTTCTGGGGATTGTCTCCACCTGGTTACTAAAGGCTGGCATTCACACCAACTATGCTGGGCTGGAGTTTCTGGGGGTTGTCTCCACCTGGTTACTAAAGGCTGGCAACCACTGGTTTAAAGAACACAACTAGAACATTCTCTTATTTGAGATGTGCTAAGAAACCGAACTGGAAGAACAAAACTCCACTCTATTCCCTGGAGTTTCACATACATGACATGTGGGATGTTTCCCATTTTCAATTCCATGGAATGTTTTCAGGCTCTCTTTGAAAGAGAAGCTGCCAAAGGATTCTGTCGGAGGAAACACAAAGAAAAAAAAAGACAAACAGCCGACGTTAAACAAAATGTCTGCTTTGATTTTCCAACTCTGGCGAAGTTGTCGTCATTGCTGAAGTGGCTTGCCCTCTTTTGCTTCTTGATCAAAATGAATATCCTTTATTTAGCACAACTCTACGAACTTCACCTACCTAGGATCCAAGTTGCATCTATAATTCAGTGTAGTGAAACTTCAAAAAGGCGCTTCTTTGAGTCAAGGCTACACTTCCAAGTGGAGCGTGCTTTTTCCCCCTCTTTTTCTTTAAATCTTTGGCACAACTTTTAGAATATTTTAAAACTGTATTCCTGCACACATAAAAGTCTTAACACAGGAAACATACAAAGGAAGGGGGGAAAAAACTCCCAAACCCAGCAACTAGCTATAATGATGAGGCAGAATGCTTTATGGTTGTCATATTATAAGCCTGTTCTGCCTAATGATGTATAAAGCACTTTCTGCTTCAGTTGCATTCAGGACAGCAGCTGAGTTTTCCTGTGTGAATGACTATGGGGGAAAAAAAACTCCTTTAAGGCTGTAAAACAGATCTTATTTTGGCACATACTTGCTGACATACTGCTGCTTCGGAGGGCAATGTGTGGGCACACAAGGCGCTACCTCATCCTCGGTTGGTTGTGGGTCATAAAACTTGATGCCCTGCGCTTTGGTTCATTGGGTCATGAGCCAGGAAGACTTGACTATGCCAGTAGCTATGATCAGAGAGGGTCAAGGAGCCAGCCAAGTATAATAAATGAACAATAAACAAAGATGCAGGAACATGCTAGAATTCAAGAAACGTTTGTTTTAAGCGAGTCTCAACTGGAATACAACACCCTCTTCTACTCTTCCCTGCCCAGCAGGCGTCAACAGCCGGACTCAGTGAGCAGAGACAGCTGAGCATCTTGAAGGTATTGCTGAGAAAGATATCATCTGCTGCTCAGTGATGGACCGCATAAGGGAGCTGCGCATACATTTAGCAGTTACCCAAGAAATCTTGGAATGCGCAGCAAGAAACACCATGAGCTGCTCAGCCCCTCAAATCAAGCCGGCAAGGAATGAGAATTTACTGACCCAGAAGGGCCGGTTTGTAGGTTTCATCCTAGAATAAATGGCTCTCCGTGAGGGTGCAGAAAACATATGCACACCTACACAAAGAACAACTAATTAAATTACAGTTGGCTCATCTGTTCCTTGCTATGTTCAAAGCCCCACAAAATTCAACAAATATTACAG